CATGGTGACACGGGGGCGGGTCAAGCCTGCTTCAGCCATCGCCGAAGCACAATGACTACTTGCATCTAGCTATGCAGCACAGCTGAATTTTCGGTGTCGAATTAGTTGCCAAATGCAGAGCAGAGGTGTGAGTACGAGGAGTAATCGCAACTCCTCTGCACACATGGTAATTGTATTGGAGAGTGTGGCCGTGTTGAAAGCACCCAACTGAAGGGGAAGACGAAATGGGGTGGAGGAGGAGGAGGAGGAGACTGACAGTCATTGTGTGGGTGACAGGGAGCAGCATTCGTGTTGGTGAAACGGCGTATTGAATGAGGGCGTGTAACTAGGAAACGACAAGGCAGACAAACGGTAGGAGTACAGATATTATCGTTGTGATGTTGAACTATCAGTCCTGTAATTAGAGGTTAAGGTGGAATTGATTTACATGGGGATTGTAGCTAGGAAGAACCGGGCGCGTTGTGAGGTCATCTGACCTTACTTGACATCTGGCTGTCATTGTAAGTAATCCAATGTGACTACGCTGGAGCGAAACGGTAAGAAGTGAGCCGCAATCAACATGCCTCCTGAATGTTATGTCAGCCAGCATCGAATGAGCTTAAATGGAAGGTGTGGTGATGGGGACGACCGGAGGATACCGACATTGACGCGGGTGCGCACCTCCGACATTGAAGCACAGTGGCAATAGGGAAGGAATAGCGAAGCAAATTCTTCCTCCATGTTGCGCAGCAGACGTGTGTTTGCGTGTCTAAAGAGCACGAGAATGATGCAGGTGCCGAAGCGAGACTTCGTTGCCAGTGCACCTGCCGTTGGGATGTGAATGTTTCCTTGCGATGCATGTGCAGTCAGTCCATTTGATGACTGCTTGTTTGCAGTCGACGAATGAACTCACTTCTGCATGGAGATGCAACTGATATGTAGAGAGTTGGTTGATCACTCGAGACATGAGCTAAGGCATACTGCTTCGAAGCCTTCGGAGGATCCGAGGCCATGTTTCTCGTGCTACCCACACCAGACATTATATGCTTGTTGCAAATAGGGTGTCGCCTCCCCTAATGTGGTCAATTCACGCTTGTCAAAATGTGGCGTTCTATGAGATCACCTTTGTCGATATTACCGACGACATCCCCCCCTTATGCAACAGTGTGAGTGTGGGGCAGCGAATGATGCTTTGCATATTTGCCGGACGTCTCGGTGGCGGCAAAACCGTTTTCATGCATCAAGGTTTTGGTGGTGAGGTGAGGGCAAAGCGTTGTACTTGTGACGAGTCGTCTCGACGAAGCAGCAGGTTTGACGCCTGATGTCAGTGCGAAGGCCGATTTTCGGTATTCTGTATGAGAATGTGATGGCACATGCATTGCATGCTTTTGTGATGATTGCAGTGAGCCCTCGTTCCTTCGTCCAGCATGGCGTGTGTGTGCGTTGGTGGGTGGGAGTGCTGGTGATGACACTGCCGAAGGGAAGGCGGCTTCACCGATTGCAGTCGGGCAGTTGTGTGTGATGGTTACCGTTCTCCTGCAGTCGTGCTGCAAGTGGATTGGGATGAGCTCCTCCGCCTACACAAAGTAGTCCCTCTGAGGTTGGCGTTGTGTGTGTAACCGCGGTGCGTATTGGCGCAGTACATTCACCGAGGTGTGAGACTAAGAGTGCGTTTACTCGAATCTGCAGCTTTATGGCGTGCTCAACGTGAACATCGCATTCTCGTGCGATATGCACTTTGCCACCACCAACGAGTCTTTCTCTCTGCACACTTTCACTGTCGACAACATTCAACTATCACTTGGTCACGTGCTGCTGCCTGTGCCGAGAAAGCGCAGAAGTAGTCGCCGGTGTACATTAGACAAAGCCCGATTGATGCACAGTGACGATTTGGGGGCAGAACGCGCCTGCAATGCTCACATGCTGCTGTGCTAGACGAAAGAGCGAGGGGTCACATGAGTCAGACAAACTGTATCGCATCATTAATTCTGAAAAGCAGAAGAGACTGAGAAGGAAAGCGAACAGGCAATGACCATTCGGATGTGGAGCATCACTTTGTCTTGGACATCGGTCACCTCCCAGTGGCCTATTTGCGATAGCCGTGCACGGAAAGGAAGAAGGGAAGCGAAATTGGGGAAAGGGGACACGACTGTGGTGGAACAGTGTGCTGAAGAGTCATTCAAAGCAGAAGCAGCAGGATTGCACTTAATGTGGCTACTTGAAGCAAGGCTCAGTTGCATGTGGCATT